CCCTTTTGCTTGTGCTCGAAGTGTGTGGTGACGTTGTGATCCACCCTGAGCTTGCATTGCTTTTCTTGACTAGTCTTGTGACCCCTTGTTCTCCCCCACTGTGCCTATGGGGGTGTGTCAAACTATATATATGCTATGGTATAATGGGTAGGCTATAGTGGGGTAGCCAACATGGGGTACGGTACAACCCCTTTAGGTTTTGTACTTGTACCAACTCTCTTGATAGTTTACACCATTAGTGCTTGTTAATTCTTAACACGATGTGGGCGTTTTTGGGGCCACGATTGGGGCGCTCTAAGTTGCTATCGACGGAGGCGCTCTAGGAGGGCGCGTTAGGGGTGCTGTAGGAGGGAACTCTAGGGGGGGCGTTACTTGAGTAGGTAGGGTAGGCACGGCGAAGCAGTTGACCGAAACCTAATTCTGGTACCATCTTAAGAAATAAGGAGTGTACTAGCGTGAAAAGATATACAAATATATGCAAACATGTACCATTTATAGTCCAACTCTAACTAGCCTTTGAGTTTACATATGAAGTTAGATCTTTGTGCCTTGACAGGCCATTCTCCGAAAATCAGGGTATCCTGATATTTTACCTGGACAACATAGGCCTGCTTTTTATTAATGTTCTTGTTCCTTTACCATAGCTTGGTGAAACACTATCTGTTTAATTAAAATATCAGTGAAGCTGGTGCTTCCTTCTCCAGCAATAATAAAGCATGGCACACACCCTTAGTGGTTGTTTCAAAAGTCCGTTCTAAGGAGACTCAACGTAGCTTAAAGCCAGGATCTTAAGTAAGAGAAATTGGCTTCAATTGCAAAACACTTGCAGCTCGAGTCACCCTGTTTGTTTAGGCGAAATCGAGTGGTTGGGTTGGAGGTTCAGTGTGCGACTGATCCCCGATTTGCCCGTGAATCTCAATTGCAAAACAAATTGCTGTGCATGAGATTTTTCGGCAAGTGAGACACATTGCTGGGAAATGAGCTTCGGAACCCAACCAGATTTCCGTGCCTAGTTGGTTCGGAAGTTCACTGCGATTTTTGTTTGCTTCGCATCCCTCGTTTCAGCTCTCGTCAACTACTCTACCTCGTCAACCAATCACAGCCTAACACAATTCACTAACTGCAAAACAGCCAAACTACTTGAGATCCTGGCTTTAATGAGTTCTCTAGAGTTGCATTCTGTATATAGAATAGTTGGGTAGGGTATTTGAGAGTATCTATGTTCTTTTCGGTAACCACCATAAGATGAAGGCCTCTGGACTGAGCTGTGTCAAGATTTGCACTGCTCATTACAAAACACGCAAATTCGGGGCAGCCGTGATAACCGCGAGTTGTTCCTGCTACCCGCAAATGCCAGGTAGAAGCTTCAGGTGGGAGCCAGGTCATCAACACCATGTTCAGCCATGGCATGGCTGGCGCGACCATTCAACCAATCCTCGTTCCGCACAGGCGCCAGCGCGTGTTCAGAGTGCCGAGAGTGCCCAGCATCCCGTGACGATCGACGGTCAACGTCCGTTCCGTAGCTTGCGTCGCGTCGACAGACATCGGGGCGCATGTTCGATGCACCCTCCCGTCCCGTCCCAATCCCTTGGCCGCCCTTCGCGGCGTGGCGCTAGGCAGGTGCAAACCCTGCGATGCGGTGGAATGAACCCAAGGTTGCGCCCTAGCGATTGAGCAAGCCGCGATGAAGATAAATGGTTCAGTACGCAAAAGGTACAGACGCGTTTGTGTGTTCTCAAGTTCTTGCACATTCTCTCTACTAGGTCACTCACATTTTCTCAAGCAGGGATAGTTCCTCCTAGAGCACAATAAGCGCGAAGCATTGACTCCGCGTCACGAGACTTTGCCTCTCTTCTCTTCAGGCGCCTATTCGGTTACTAGGCCTTCAGGCTCAGGATGGGTTATGACAGACCAATCACAGCACACCATCACATCATTTCCTTCATCGTCGCATCGCTAGTCACTGGGATGATCTGCGGTCCAGACTCGGCTGTCGCGGCGTCCCCAGAGTTGACACTTAAAGATGCCATCCTCCTGGCGAATGCGGTACGCACGTCATCTCTATTTCCCCGTGAAAACCCTAGGTGAGTAAGCATGATCATGTACCTACTTGCACTTCACTGTAGCGTGTCAGCGCGAAGGATTTCTGCAAACCGATAGGTATCACGTCGTGCTGCGATTTTAGCGCACATTCATCACATAAGTAGTACCTTCAAGGTACAACAACCAGCCTCGAGAACCCTTCAGTAGCTGGTCCAAAACTATCGTAAGTCACAACATGCCGATAAGGTGACCTACAGGGACATTAGCGGCCTCCCAGTTGAAACGACGCATCCACGTGAACCCGATTCCAGCCAAACCAAGTAGCAAGAAAATCTGTCGATGTGATTGTTTTCGAATGGTGAATCACTACTAGTAAGGCGTGCTCGGAGCACGAGGCTCGTCGCGTGTTGTATCACCTTCCGCATACGTTTTCGTTTTTATGTGTTCGCGAAAGATAAAGATTATTTTGCTCACGCATGCTTTTTCCGCGTGTTTGTCGTCAATAGTTCGTGCTTCAGCAGGTTGTGGGTAGTATGGGTGAGGGTGGGAGCACAGGTCAAGGCGATGCAAAAATCAGAATATACATAAATGCTTTTTTCATTGATTCAACTGGCAGTTAGCCTAGTTGTACAAGTGGGTAAGGAAAGATTTGACGGGGTTAGCTCAACTTTCCCGTTCACCCGTGTGTGTGTTGCGTCCACTGGCGTGACCACAGGGAGGAGCAGTCGCGCCGCCCACTGAGCTCAATCTCACCTCCAGCGTGTAAATCTCATCATACCAGTAAGTTCCTCATCAATCCTCGCCTGCACATGTCCCGTCTCGCCACGTCGTGCGCTCGCCACCTCATGCCACGAACACTGTTTAGTTTTCTACGCACTTAAGTCCAAGAAAACAAAAATCAAGGTAGGGTTGCACCATGGAGACGCACCACGCCTCTCATGCCATCAAGCAGGCTCTATGTGCATTATCAGACCATTTCGACCCACTCTCTCTCGCCCCTTGATTGAGTTAAGTCAACTAAAAATAATTTCTTTTTCCTACTTCCCAGGATGTTTTCTTCTTCCCGCTACCCCAAACGACATCCCCCTTCCCCTTCCTCCCCCCTCGCCTCCCACAGCCCCCTCCCCGCACTCTCAGGTGCAGCCAAGCTGATCGTCAGGGGCGCGTGTAGGAATTCTGGTACTATCGGGGTTACCAGGTGGGTGCTACCAGTTGGTTGCTGTACCAGGAGGGTAGTGGGATTATCTGGGAACCAGGGTCATCTGGGGATGGTAGTTTCAGTGGGTCAGATGGGTGAACCAGACCCTAGTGGGGCTGGTACGGTCACAAGAAGGTTGCAGTTACTATCACAGCCACTGGAAGTTATGGTAGTCTTACCCAGAGAGTCTTACCAGACGAGTAATACTAGGGATGCCAGGCGTGTAATAGCGATGCGGTGGAATGAACCCAAGGTTGCGCCCTAGCGATTGAGCAAGCCGCGATGAAGATAAATGGTTCAGTACGCAAAAGGTACAGACGCGTTTGTGTGTTCTCGAAGTTCTTGCACATTCTCTCTACTAGGTCACTCACATTTTCTCAAGCAGGGATAGTTCCTCCTAGAGCACAATAAGCGCGAAGCATTGACTCCGCGTCACGAGACTTTGCCTCTCTTCTCTTCAGGCGCCTATTCGGTTACTAGGCCTTCAGGCTCAGGATGGGTTATGACAGACCAATCACAGCACACCATCACATCATTTCCTTCATCGTCGCATCGCTAGTCACTGGGATGATCTGCGGTCCAGACTCGGCTGTCGCGGCGTCCCCAGAGTTGACACTTAAAGATGCCATCCTCCTGGCGAATGCGGTACGCACGTCATCTCTATTTCCCCGTGAAAACCCTAGGTGAGTAAGCATGATCATGTACCTACTTGCACTTCACTGTAGCGTGTCAGCGCGAAGGATTTCTGCAAACCGATAGGTATCACGTCGTGCTGCGATTTTAGCGCACATTCATCACATAAGTAGTACCTTCAAGGTACAACAACCAGCCTCGAGAACCCTTCAGTAGCTGGTCCAAAACTATCGTAAGTCACAACATGCCGATAAGGTGACCTACAGGGACATTAGCGGCCTCCCAGTTGAAACGACGCATCCACGTGAACCCGATTCCAGCCAAACCAAGTAGCAAGAAAATCTGTCGATGTGATTGTTTTCGAATGGTGAATCACTACTAGTAAGGCGTGCTCGGAGCACGAGGCTCGTCGCGTGTTGTATCACCTTCCGCATACGTTTTCGTTTTTATGTGTTCGCGAAAGATAAAGATTATTTTGCTCACGCATGCTTTTTCCGCGTGTTTGTCGTCAATAGTTCGTGCTTCAGCAGGTTGTGGGTAGTATGGGTGAGGGTGGGAGCACAGGTCAAGGCGATGCAAAAATCAGAATATACATAAATGCTTTTTTCATTGATTCAACTGGCAGTTAGCCTAGTTGTACAAGTGGGTAAGGAAAGATTTGACGGGGTTAGCTCAACTTTCCCGTTCACCCGTGTGTGTGTTGCGTCCACTGGCGTGACCACAGGGAGGAGCAGTCGCGCCGCCCACTGAGCTCAATCTCACCTCCAGCGTGTAAATCTCATCATACCAGTAAGTTCCTCATCAATCCTCGCCTGCACATGTCCCGTCTCGCCACGTCGTGCGCTCGCCACCTCATGCCACGAACACTGTTTAGTTTTCTACGCACTTAAGTCCAAGAAAACAAAAATCAAGGTAGGGTTGCACCATGGAGACGCACCACGCCTCTCATGCCATCAAGCAGGCTCTATGTGCATTATCAGACCATTTCGACCCACTCTCTCTCGCCCCTTGATTGAGTTAAGTCAACTAAAAATAATTTCTTTTTCCTACTTCCCAGGATGTTTTCTTCTTCCCGCTACCCCAAACGACATCCCCCTTCCCCTTCCTCCCCCCTCGCCTCCCACAGCCCCCTCCCCGCACTCTCAGGTGCAGCCAAGCTGATCGTCAGGGGCGCGTGTAGGAATTCTGGTACTATCGGGGTTACCAGGTGGGTGCTACCAGTTGGTTGCTGTACCAGGAGGGTAGTGGGATTATCTGGGAACCAGGGTCATCTGGGGATGGTAGTTTCAGTGGGTCAGATGGGTGAACCAGACCCTAGTGGGGCTGGTACGGTCACAAGAAGGTTGCAGTTACTATCACAGCCACTGGAAGTTATGGTAGTCTTACCCAGAGAGTCTTACCAGACGAGTAATACTAGGGATGCCAGGCGTGTAATAGCGATGCGGTGGAATGAACCCAAGGTTGCGCCCTAGCGATTGAGCAAGCCGCGATGAAGATAAATGGTTCAGTACGCAAAAGGTACAGACGCGTTTGTGTGTTCTCGAAGTTCTTGCACATTCTCTCTACTAGGTCACTCACATTTTCTCAAGCAGGGATAGTTCCTCCTAGAGCACAATGAGCGCGAAGCATTGACTCCGCGTCACGAGACTTTGCCTCTCTTCTCTTCAGGCGCCTATTCGGTTACTAGGCCTTCAGGCTCAGGATGGGTTATGACAGACCAATCACAGCACACCATCACATCATTTCCTTCATCGTCGCATCGCTAGTCACTGGGATGATCTGCGGTCCAGACTCGGCTGTCGCGGCGTCCCCAGAGTTGACACTTAAAGATGCCATCCTCCTGGCGAATGCGGTACGCACGTCATCTCTATTTCCCCGTGAAAACCCTAGGTGAGTAAGCATGATCATGTACCTACTTGCACTTCACTGTAGCGTGTCAGCGCGAAGGATTTCTGCAAACCGATAGGTATCACGTCGTGCTGCGATTTTAGCGCACATTCATCACATAAGTAGTACCTTCAAGGTACAACAACCAGCCTCGAGAACCCTTCAGTAGCTGGTCCAAAACTATCGTAAGTCACAACATGCCGATAAGGTGACCTACAGGGACATTAGCGGCCTCCCAGTTGAAACGACGCATCCACGTGAACCCGATTCCAGCCAAACCAAGTAGCAAGAAAATCTGTCGATGTGATTGTTTTCGAATGGTGAATCACTACTAGTAAGGCGTGCTCGGAGCACGAGGCTCGTCGCGTGTTGTATCACCTTCCGCATACGTTTTCGTTTTTATGTGTTCGCGAAAGATAAAGATTATTTTGCTCACGCATGCTTTTTCCGCGTGTTTGTCGTCAATAGTTCGTGCTTCAGCAGGTTGTGGGTAGTATGGGTGAGGGTGGGAGCACAGGTCAAGGCGATGCAAAAATCAGAATATACATAAATGCTTTTTTCATTGATTCAACTGGCAGTTAGCCTAGTTGTACAAGTGGGTAAGGAAAGATTTGACGGGGTTAGCTCAACTTTCCCGTTCACCCGTGTGTGTGTTGCGTCCACTGGCGTGACCACAGGGAGGAGCAGTCGCGCCGCCCACTGAGCTCAATCTCACCTCCAGCGTGTAAATCTCATCATACCAGTAAGTTCCTCATCAATCCTCGCCTGCACATGTCCCGTCTCGCCACGTCGTGCGCTCGCCACCTCATGCCACGAACACTGTTTAGTTTTCTACGCACTTAAGTCCAAGAAAACAAAAATCAAGGTAGGGTTGCACCATGGAGACGCACCACGCCTCTCATGCCATCAAGCAGGCTCTATGTGCATTATCAGACCATTTCGACCCACTCTCTCTCGCCCCTTGATTGAGTTAAGTCAACTAAAAATAATTTCTTTTTCCTACTTCCCAGGATGTTTTCTTCTTCCCGCTACCCCAAACGACATCCCCCTTCCCCTTCCTCCCCCCTCGCCTCCCACAGCCCCCTCCCCGCACTCTCAGGTGCAGCCAAGCTGATCGTCAGGGGCGCGTGTAGGAATTCTGGTACTATCGGGGTTACCAGGTGGGTGCTACCAGTTGGTTGCTGTACCAGGAGGGTAGTGGGATTATCTGGGAACCAGGGTCATCTGGGGATGGTAGTTTCAGTGGGTCAGATGGGTGAACCAGACCCTAGTGGGGCTGGTACGGTCACAAGAAGGTTGCAGTTACTATCACAGCCACTGGAAGTTATGGTAGTCTTACCCAGAGAGTCTTACCAGACGAGTAATACTAGGGATGCCAGGCGTGTAATAGGTTTATCAAATATAGGGTGCAGTGGCAGTCTGGTTGGCAAACAATGAAGCAAGCTCGCAACCGTCTCAGCCACACTTGCAACGACTTTTGAGACGCCTGAAAAAGCCACACTAGCAATGCCCCCTTGTTTGCCTTTGCTGCCGCTGCTCACTGCATCGCCATTGCTCTTATCAAACCTCTCTGCGCCGCCATCTCCTCTTCCCTTCTCTCTCGAACCCGCTTTTGTTCCGCTGTTCTATCTTCGCGCACCATCTCCCCCTCCCTCCCCAACACCAGCTGCTACATATCCGGGGGCACCTTGCCCATATTCACCTCCCCCTCGTCCGGCCCCACCGGGGGGATGCTAACTCTGGTCAACCTCATCTTTCAGGAGTCGAGAGGAGGCATCTTTCTCAACGTTCGGACAGCGATCAACATGACTCGATGCGACTTCGTCGACAACACGGCTCCTCGCTTTAGCGCAGCGGTTCTCAGGTGAGGGTGATGGGAGGGAGATGAGGGAAAGGGAGGGGTGGTGAGTGTGTGTGTAGTGCACGTGAAAGTGCGTGTGTGGTGTGCACTTGAAAGCTTGTGTGGTGTGCACTTGAAAGTGTGTGTGGGTGTGCACTCGAAAGTGTGCATGGTGTGCAATGAAAGTGTGTATGGTGTGCAATGAAAGTGTGCATGGTGTGCAATGAAAGTGTGTAAGTAAAGTTCATGTGAGAGAGTGTCTGGCGCATGGAAGCATGGTGCATCAAAATATAGCATGCTGATCTGATGTGCTCTTCAAGTCGTCTCATGCTGCACCTTACACGGCAACGCAACCGCAAACGGTGACTAATAGCCCCCCTATTCCGTCGCACATTCCATTGTCCCTCACCTACTTTTGAGAATCCACACAAGCAACTTGACGTCAAACCGTGATTGATGGTTCGGTGAATCGCCAATCACGGTCCCCTGGGAGTTCTCCTTATTCCCTCCCACACTCTAAATCACCTGCCATCCCCACGCAACCCACTAGCAACTCCCACCATACACCCCTACCTACCGCCTCTTCTCAGCAATCCGTGATTGATGCCCGCTATTCCCTCTCACACTCTCCACTGCCCTCCACCCCACCCGTCCCTCCCTCCCTGTCTCCCAACCCACCAGCGAATCCGTCCCTGCAACAGCCATCACTCCAATATCTTCCCTCGCCGCACCGCCCATAGCAAGGCACACCACATTCTCCTCTATCCCCACCCACCCCAACCCACCAGTGACACCTTCCCTGCAACAGTCACACCTCCCAGTCGCTTCTTCACACTATGCAACTTCCGCAACAACACAGTGGCAATCAACATCAATTGGGGGAACTCCCAGGGGAACGTGCCTGCTATGACCTTTGTGAACTGTGTCTTCCGGAACAACCGTGTGCCATGGAGCATGGGAGGGGTGATCTCGGTGGCAGGAACTGGCAATCTTCGGTTCAAGTGGTGTTCGTTTGATGGGAATAGCGCTGGTGAGTGAGTGGGTACGTGTGTGTGTGCGTGCGTGCGCGTGTGTGTGCATGTGTGTGTGAGTCATTGGAAGGGGCGACGAGGGGGGACGAGGGATGGCGGGTGGGGAGGAGGGGGTTGGGATGGTGTGGTTGTGTGAGACCTGTGTGCGGTTGTGTGCTGGGTTCTGGGGGTGTATGTATGTATGTGTGTGTGTGTGCGCGCGCGCGTACGTGTATGGTTGCGTTTTTGCATGTGCATGTGCATGTGTGTGTGTGTGTGTGTGTGTGTGTGTGTGTGTGTGTGTGTGTGTGTGTGTGTGTGCATGCGTGCGTGCGTGAGTGAGGGTGTGCGCGCGCGCGCACGCGTGTGTTTGAATGTGTGCATGTTTCTGTGCGATGGTCACCTTTGAGCCTTCTTAAAAGTCAATCCGTATGGAGTCAAGCCCACACTTATGAGCTTTCTGTGCTCTGTGGGTGGTCCTGTCAATCTTGTGAGTTGAGTGTGTTCTGTGGGGGTTGGCTCTGTGGATCCAGTGCTACATTTCCCTTTTGATGGCCTTTGACCCGCCTCAAAAGCCCAGGGCTAACTTTCTCCATCATAGCTAAAAAACCCAAATTAGTCTCATCCGCCGTTGTTCCACACCTCTCTATTCCATCATCCAGAGACATAAAAGGAAAGCATCTTCTACAGAAAGCTTTTCCTAAGGATATTTTTTTTCCAAGAAATGCATTTTCTAGGGAATGCTTTTTCTACGGAATGCCTTTTCTAGGAAACGTCTTTCCTAGGGATTAAGCTTTGTGGGGTATGCCTTTGCTAGGGAAGGCCTTTTCTAAGGATGGTCTCTTCTCAAGCAGCAGTCCCTGTCATTCCTCCATCCCCTGCTCCTACCTCTGGCCTCGCCACTGCTCAGTTCCTCACACCCCTCGTTTCCTGAATAAAACCATTCTCGCAGTTGTTGTTGCCTTGCGCCGTCCCCATCTCACACCCTCTTTAGCAGTCCGGCCATCAGTCCTTGTCGCTCGACTGCCCCCCTGTGTCCCCATCCCACCCTACCCACCCTCCTCTCCACCCATCCAGCTTCGGGTGGGGGTGCCATCTTCTCTAGTGGAGCCTCCCTTTACTTCCAAGGAGTCAGCTTCTACAACAACAGGGCCCTCAACGTGTCAAATATGTGTGGCGCTGGCGGCGCAGTCTACGCCTATGCAGGGAGCAGCAGCCCGGCGACTCTCCTCTTCTGCTCCGTTGCTTTCTCGGCCAACGTGGGCTGCGCTGCAAACGCCAGCACACTGTTCCTGACGAGCTCGCGTGCCACAAATCAACCATCGACAGTGTCCTTTTGCCAAAAGACTACTAAGCCGGCTGGGATGCTCATGACCTCGAGTGTGTGGCGGGAGGGGACTGTTTGCCCGTCTACGTGAGGGAGAAGGCTGTCTGGGTAAATGGGGAAGAGTGGGCGAGGAGTTGGGGGGGAGTGCTGTGGAGCAGTGGGAGCAGGTTGGCTGGGTTTATGATTCTAATTGCACAGCTAGGTGAGGGAGTGAGGGTGGGCAAGGGAGGGAGATCATTGAGAGAAGAATGGAGAGAGGGTTCGGGACAAATTCACAGCCCAATGAGGGAGTCTATGTGCTTGAGGGATGTGTGTGTGTGAACGAGAGGGAAAGGAGAAAGTGGTAAGTGAGAGATCTTGAGTGATTGGAATCAACTGAGTCAACAACACAGTCAGCAACACAGTGGAGAACGAAGCTAACAAGAGAGGCCGCAGCGAGGAAGGGGCAGAGGCAGCAGCAGAGGTAGCAGTGTGGCTGTTTGCTTGTTGCCCACACTCCACTTGTATACTCTGCTCCCTTCTTCCTTCGCCTTACAATGATCATGCTCGTCCCTTTCTCCTCTCTTCCTCCCTCCTCAACAACCCTGCTTTCTCCTCTCTTCCTCCCTCCCCAACCAGCCTGCTTTCTCCGCTCTTCCTCCCTCCCCAAACACCCTGATTTCTCCTCTCTTCCTCCCTCCCCAACCACCCTGCTTTCTCCTCTCTCTTCCCTTCCCAACCACCCTGCTTTCTCCTATTTTCCTCACTTCCCAACCACCCTGCTTTCGCCTCTCTCTTCCCTCCCCGCCCACCCTGATTTCTCCTCTTGACCTCCCCATGTTCCCTGGTTTTTTCCTATTGTCCTCCCTCCCCACACTCCCTCATTCTTCCTCCATGCAGACCTGCGCTTGATCCCTGGGTGTCAAACCTTCAGACGTTGTATTAAATAGCCTGCCTTCTTCTTTTGCCTCTCTCCCCCTTTCCTCCGTCCAAGCAGCCCTTGCGTCTAAGCCCGGCCTTTCATGCTTCAGAGGAGTAAACCCCTGCCTTCAGTAAATTCCGGGCTTTGCCGTCAACTTTCACTCCTGGGTTTTCAGTAAACTCGGCTTTTCGGTCAAATCCTGGTGTCAACTCTTGACTCTTCCTTAAATCCTGGCGTTTAGTCTGGCTCCTCACCTCACACTTGCCACTAGTCATGCTTCTTAGGCATGCAATTGTACATACCGTATGACCCCAGATATAAGCGCAGGCCTATAAAAAGCGCATGCGCTTATATCTGGAGCAATGCGCTTATGGCCGATGCTCAATTATAAGCGCACCCATTATAAAACCCTGATATATTATAAGCACATGTGTAATTTTATTCTTAAATCCTGATATAAACGGTAACAAAATTCAAATTTGCAGCAAGTTCACAACCATTTTTGCTTAGGTTGACTTTCGAGGACCTCACATCATGCGCGTCCAGTCAGCACGAGCTGGCACGCCCTCAAAGTGAGGTGTTACACAGGCCTGTCGCTTACTCTAAACCCAACCCTTAAGAAGTTGAGCTGGACCTACACGGAAATCCGGGCAAGGCCCAAAACCAGTCCGTTAGGGTCCGGCCAAGGGCAAAACCAGTCCGTTTTCCTTACGGGCTTCCTCGCAAACTAACCCTTAAAATCTCTGAGGTGCGTCAAACCCAGCCCTGAATTCTCAGGACAAACGGGCAAATGCCCGTGAATCGACAGGCCTGGTGTTACACTGTGGCCTTGTTCTGTAGGCGGACTGGCCTCCGCACAAAATGTCCGGGACAGTCTTTCCTAGAAAATTCGTGTCGCATCCAATCAAAATTGTCACCCTCGATGTTGCTACGAAGCCCCGCATATCCAATGCATTTCCGCAATCCAAAGCCCCGCATAACTTGTGCGCTGGCTGATGCGTGCCCTGGAGGTTGAATCAGCCCCGCACTAGTTGTGCGACCGTTTGCCAGGCGAAGCAATTGCTTCGAACCAGCACACGGTCAAATTTGTGCGGGTCACAAGTGGTGTTCTGCAGGCAGAAGCGTCAAATTTGGCGCAAGTAGGTTTGGCATCCACGCGCTTATCACCAAACCTAGATAAGCAATTGATCAGTTATCAACCTCACTGTGCGAAACCAGATGCTGGAAATTGTCCACCTACAGAACAAGGCCTGTACTTTGCCTCTGTGTGCCGGCAGAGAATCGCCCGCGCGCGATTCTGATCTGTGACACTCTACCATCTCGATTCGATTGAAATGGCAGGGATGAGATGTACAATGGGATGCGATTAAATCTGTATTTGTCATTTTATAAGCGCATGCGCGTATAGTTTTTACTCAATTATAATTGCCCCCCCCCCAAAAAACACTGGTTGATTCTAAGTGCAGGTGCGCTTATATCTGGGGTGATACGGTAGTGTAAGGAAGCATGTGTGGCAAAGATAAATACCAAGTATTTATACTCTACTAAACATGCACCCATTCTGTGAAGGGCCTGGCCTCCTAGCAAATGTGTCACAAATAGCTGCTGTGCAGCCAGCACCCGCGCCTGAGGGTGCTCTACGGATTGAGAAAGGTTGCTTCTTGACTAGCAATAAGCATCGTCTTTAATGCTTGTGGTCAAGCGCAGCATTGCCCGTCATATAAACAGTTTCATACATCATATCTAAACATGCGGGGGGTGGGGGGGAAACTGAACTTGAGAGTAAAAAAATGAAAACGTGGGTGAGGCCAAATGGCAGAAACCTTTTCTTTTGTAGTCGGAGAAGGGCGAATAGCGCTTCGACGATGCCTTTAGTGCTGCGTACAAGCTGCTGCGCTTTCACAATAAGTCGTTTTAGAAAGTGTAACATTTTCCAAAATGTACATATTGAGAAAGCTTGCTTCTTGATTAGCAATAAACGTCGTCTTCATTGCTTGTGGGTCTTCTGAAGCATGTGAAGCAAGGGTTGTCGTTGGCGAACGATGGCTTGCTCGTGATGCGGAGGGGCCGGTGCGGTGTCAGCCCGGGAGGCGGACACCAAGTCTTTGGTTGCTATCGTCACGTAAAGGTCCCTGGCCGTACTGCTGCGCCAGTGACCGAGCCTTTGGAAGACGCGGTCTGGGACCCCTGCACTTGCAGGCATGGTGGTTGCGCCTTTGCGGAATGGATGGGTTCCCAAATGGGTGTCACTGAAGCCAATCTTATCGAATGCTTCTCACCAATCGCGAATGGTCGTGTATGAAGGGGAGGTGGGTGTAGATTGTTGGAAACAATTAACTCTACGCGCCTCTGTCGTGTCGAAACACCAAGTCAGAAGCGAAGCGAAGCATATCGAAGCACTGGCGAGTCAACCCTCGGAGGTTGAGCAGTTGCTGGAGGTTACGCGAAAGTCAAAGGTCAGCGACCTTTGACCTGACAAGTACAGCGCGACAGCAAGGACACACAACTCACTCGTTACAGAGCAGTTGCCCGAGTCGTCACTGTATCGAACCGCAACAGCAACAGTAAAGTAGTTATAACTGTATCTCTTCATATTCCCTGTACCCTATATAATCTTGTATCTCTTTGCCTTAATCAATCAACTTTGCCCTCACATACTAGCGCAAGGTGGTTCACAACTCTTCATTAAACGCTTCCGCTATTACATCAGTTATACCCAGAGTTCACCGCTGCAAAGATCCTAAGGGCTATTTTTCTCAGCCCAATATAGATGATGCCGATGTACGACGGCCAAAGACACGGATCAACGGCCCGTGAGTGAGAGGTCCGTATTGTGCGAGTTGCATGAAGCGCTGGGTGCAGTGTACAGGGCAGAACGGGCCCGGTATGGCCGCCACTGGGACCCACATTCCACGACCCTCTTGGTCCGTTTTGGAATGCGGGATGAGGATCCACATAACATCCTCCTCGAATTGTATGTCTTCCCAGCGAATTGCCACGAGATCCGAATATCTGAGGAATGCAGCATACATGAGCAGGGGAATGAGTCCCTTTTGGAATTCTGCCGGGTCTTTCTCGGATAGGTTTTGTTGTGCCATGCTGTGGACTTGGTGAAGAGACACGGGCTCCTTGATCCGGGATGGGCGCGGGCAGTGCCGTTTGGCGTACTTGCGAACTTGGCTGGTGAACGAGCCTTAGACGGGACAACGAGCTACGATCATGCGGTATGCAAAAGTGACTGCCGAGCAGGTGAGCTGTACCATGGATATTGTTGCCTTTTTTTCGATTGCATGCACCAAGTAGAGTGCAAGCGTTGTGTCGGTGGTTGGTAAGAATGATAGCTGGAATCGGTCACAGAAGGAGCGAAACTTGAGCCAGTAGGGGTCGTACGTGCGAATTGTCGAATCCGCCCTGACTTGGGATGTGATCAGCAGAAGTTGGTGATAGAGCCTAACCATGGTGCCTGTGCCATGAGAACAAGAGTATGCTCAACAATTACTCGAATGAAAACAGGAGCGCATGCATGATGCTGTTGGGAAGGCCAGTGCTAGAGAATGCTGTTGTGTGGGTTCCTACACCAAGGCACTGGTTGCCGCTGGTGAGTTGGATGTGGGTCTTGACTTCTGGTGCCCACTCGTTCAATGTTGGGTGAACTCGGGGCCACTAAACAACACTGGGCCATTCAGGGAGGATTAGCGTGATCCTGGCGCGGGTTTGTTGTGCGTGGTGTAGCAGCGTCGGAATCAACTGAGGAGATGGGAAAGCGAACCCGTGTTCCCTGGTCCATGAAATGGAGAAAGCATTGACTGCGTGCGCGCCGGGTGGGGCACCTTAAAGAAAAAAAGAGAGAGTTGCGCATTGGTGGCTTTCGCAAAGAGATCAAGCGAGTGTGGACCCAAGCGCCGATCAAGGAGTTGGAACCATGGTTGCTTCAGAGTGTAATCGTCATGTTCTCGCAATTTGGAAAGTGTGCCGGTGTGAGGATCTGGTTCAGGTAAGATAAATCTATTCAAATGAATCACCTGGGTACAAGGCGAGGCTATATATAGGCTCGACACAAAGGCAGTAACCCGGGTGTTACTAGAAGGTTCCGCGGGTCGCGAAGCGTCCCGAACGAGTCCTTCCCGAATTCGATAGAAGGCAATTCGGTGGCAACCGAAAAGCCTAGAATTCGGTGCACTCAACCTAGTTTGGTGCTATAATTATAATGACTATAGTGAAAGCAACGAACCTAGGAAATGTTTTGGTACTGGTTGGCTGTATTGCTCCAGACCCACCAATTATCGTCGCGAAAAACATTTTAACGGTCAGCAAAGCAGAACTTTTACGTCGCTCCTCCAGTTGCGCGGAGGGTGGCAGGAAGCTGAATCGCACCAACGTGGGGGGTTCTTGGCTTCGCGGAAGCACCCGGCCGCACCAGTGGTGCTGTGCTGTGTTGTCCGCCCTCCATTTGCCGCTGGGCAACAGAACTGGCCCCAGGGAAATGCCCTCGCGCGATTCTGATTCAGGACGTTGTAAAAGTTCGATTCGATTGAACTTACGAGACTGAAATGTACAACTTCGTGCGTTTAATTTGTATTTCTGTATTATTTATTATATAAGCGCCGGCGATTATGGCCGATACTCAATTACAAGCGCCCCCCTTAAAGCCCGAGTACAGCATGGTAATTTTCAAGTTCAAGATTCTTGAACTTGAAATCGCCAAAAACAGGGTTACCCTACTTGTTTTGAGAAAATTCTCGCGCCCTAGGTGGGCCAAGACTTGGTTGCATGAGCGCCATGGCTGAATCACGGGGTTGGCCTTGAGCTTGAGCTTCTCCACTGCCACCAGCACCTCTGCCACCCCTTTCGTCAGGTCCAGAAATTGTCGAAACTGCTCCAAGGGGCTCTGATACCACTTGTTATAGTCACAATAGGCTTGAATGTGCCTAAAACGAAAGATAGAGAGCACAGACGGATTTCTGCACAGCGGCTTCAAACGTTGATAGCGTTCTGCTCACAGCTGCAAATGACTTGATTCAAATTGGATCTGGAGCGTCTTCACGTCATCTACAATTAGCAATTTAGATTGCACGATTTGATAAAGAATTGACGACACAGCGTCGGTTTGAACGAACGGTACTATGGCAGCCACTATAGTCTTAGAACACAAGATAGGAGGAGTTACGAGTTGGGAATGACTCCCAGCTCCTACAAACCCCAAGAGCCGAGGTACAGTGATGTGGAACAGTGCCACACTGTCCCCAACCACGAAGGGTCTCGAAACTACCCTTCACTAGGGTCTACACCAAGTGAAATGTTACACTACACAAAGTAATGTAACTATCTTCAATTTCTTGAGGTGTACCCTTTTGGCGAGCTTCGCGAACACTTGAATGTTGACACCAGGGCTCGGGTTTTTCATCACAAACTCATCCTTGAGTTCTTCATGGGTCTGCTGCACACACCTGCGACACGCCGAACGTTCGACAAGCGACAAAATAGAAACCGCGCACGACAAAATAGAAACCGCGCGGGACACACAGAATGACCGCGTTACACGCGACTAGCGATAATTCGCTATTGACTTGACACACACACTCGACATCATGACCCATCATACACACACTATTATAAGCATGAAATATATATATTATTTCATGCCCTCATTCCATTCCATGCACACACGCATGCACGCACACGGACAACAAGCCGAGTGCAAACCGTAGGGTTGCACCAACAAAGACCAAGGTAATACCCCACTGGTCCAAGGGCCTTGCATTTAAAGGTCTCCTTCAGCTTCCCTTGCACCTCCTTGATCCTCTCCAGGGATGGGGAGAAGAGGAGAATGTCATCAACGTAGACAAGGAGAAACACCTTCTCCTTCTCCCCCTCGGTCATGAAGAGACTCTCGTCGCACCCGCTAACTTGGAAGCCAAGAGCCTCTAACGCCTCCACCAGCCTTGCATACCAGCACCTTGGAGCTTGTTTGAGGCCATAAATGGCCTTGTTGAGCCTGCAAACACGTCCGCTCCCATCGCCGTACCCCTCTGGCTGCTTCATGTAGATCTCCTCATCTAGCACGCGAAGAGATGGGGAGGAACAGATGGGGAGGAACAGATGGGGAGGAACAGATGGGGAGGAACAAAGATGGGGAGGAACAGATGGGGAGGAACAGATGGGGAGAAACAGATGGGGAGGAACAGATGGGGAGGAACAGATGGGGAGGAACAGATGGGGAGGAACAGATGGGGAGGAACAGACGGGGAGGAATAGACGGGGAGGAACAGACGGGGAGGAACAGACGGGGAGGAACAGAGATGGGGAGGAACAGATGGGGAGGAACAGATGTGGAGGAACAGGTGGGGAGGAACAGATGGGGAGGAACAGATGGGGAGGAACAGATGGGGAGGAACAGATGGGGAGGAACAGATGGGGAGGAACAGATGGAGAGGAACAGATAGGGAGGAACAGATGGGGAGGAACAGATGGGGAGGAAAAGATGGGGAGGAACAGATGGGGAGGAACAGAGATGGGGAGGAACAGATGGGGAGGAACAGATGGGGAGGAACAGATGGGGAGGAACAGATGGGGAGGAACAGATGGGGAGGAACAGATGGGGAGGAACAGATGGGGAGGAACAGATGGGGAGCAGAGCAGAGCAGCATTGCGACCTGCCTGCAGCAGTGCGACCTGCCTGCAGCGTCATCCCCCACAGCGGAGATGAGGAAGGGCGCGGCGGAGAGTGCTGCCATGCACTCCGCTATGTTGTTCGCCACCCCCCCTGCGAGGAGGAACAGGGGAAGGGCGCGGCGGGCAGAGAGAAAGGAAGGAGGAGGGGGAGAGTGGGAGAGGGAGAGAGGTTGAGACATGCCGTAGTGGACGACACTCCACCCTCAAATTTCTTTCTCCTGCCCTCCTCCATGCCTCATGTGGGAGGAAGAAAACGGGTGGGGGAAAGGGAGGAAGGGGACAACCATGAGGGGTAGGGGTTGGAAAGGGGCGGGGGCGGGTGGAGGTTTGGCGAGAAGGGGAATAGGAACCAGAGCATAGGGCGCAGAGCATAGGGCGCAGAGCATAGGGCGCAGAGCATAGGGCGCAGAGCATAGGGCGCAGAGCATAGGGCGCAGAGCATAGGGCGCAGAGCATAGGGCGCAGAGCATAGGGCGCAGAGCATAGGGCGCAGAGCATAGGGCGCAGAGCATAGGGCGCAGAGCATAGGGCGCAGAGCATAGGGCGCAGAGCATAGGGCGCAGAGCATAGGGCGCAGAGCGTAGGGCGCAGAGCATAGGGCGCAGAGCATAGGGCGCAGAGCATAGGGCGCAGAGCATAGGGCGCAGAGCATAGGGCGCAGAGCATAGGGCGCAGAGCATAGGGCGCAGAGCATAGGGCGCAGAGCATAGGGCGCAGTGCATAGGGCGCAGTGCATAGGGCGCAGAGCATAGGGCGCAGAGCATAGGGCGCAGAGCATAGGGCGCAGAGCATAGGGCGCAGAGCATAGGGCGCAGTGCATAGGGCGCAGAGCATAGGGCGCAGAGCATAGGGCGCAGAGCATAGGGCGCAGAGCATAGGGCGCAGAGCATAGGGCGCAGAGCATAGGGCGCAGAGCATAGGGCGCAGAGCATAGGGCGCAGAGCATAGGGCGCAGAGCATAGGGCGCAGAGCATAGGGCGCAGAGCATAGGGCGCAGAGCATAGGGCGCAGAGCATAGGGCGCAGAGCATAGGGCGCAGAGCATAGGGCGCAGAGCATAGGGCGCAGAGCATAGGGCGCAGAGCATAGGGCGCAGAGCATAGGGCGCAGAGCATAGGGCGCAGAGCATAGGGCGCAGAGCATAGGGCGCAGAGCATAGGGCGCAGAGCATAGGGCGCAGAGCATAGGGCGCAGAGCATAGGGCGCAGAGCATAGGGCGCATAGCATAGGGCGCATAGCATAGGGCGCAGAGCATGGGGCGCAGAGCATGGGGCGCAGAGCATAGGGCGCAGAGCATGGGGCGCAGAGCATGGGGCGCAGAGAATAGGGCGCAGATCGCAGGGCGCATAGCGCAGAGTGCAGGGGGCAAAGCGCAGGGGGCGGAGGGGGCAAAGCGCAGAGCGCAGGGGGCGGAGGGGGCAGAGCGCAGAGTGCAAGGGCGTGGAGCACGTGTACCTGTCCTAGCGTGGTGGTGCCTCGTTCCAGCGCCCTCTCCACGCTGCTTGTCGACCAGAATAGTGCGCGCGCTGGACGTTTGCGAGTTGACGCGCTGCTAGACGACCAGTGGCGCGAGCTGTGCGTAAACCGGTGAGGGGGATGGTCGTCTCTGTATTTCGCGCCCTGCTACCCGCCCGTGGGCGCCCGGTGGCTGACAGAGTAGAATTGCGTAACCCTAAGGGTCTGCGTATTGTGGACGCCCCCAGCGTGGCATTGCCCTAAGTAATAGGCACTTTCGAGCCCAATATACGTTCGCAATGCCCCGAAATTTTCGACCTACGTGCTGCCAGAGGCAATCGATGTGCCAGAGGCCATATCGCGCTGTGTCGCGCTCTTCTCAACGCTCATTCCTGCGACTCAGCATGTACGTTTTCTGGCATGTCACCTTCGTTTGCACGTTCCCTTGTTAGCTCCTGCGGTTATTTCACACGAAGTAGTTAGCTTGAATGATCGTGGTGTTCTTTCTCCTCACTCGTGTTGGTGCTTCCCGTTTTCGTTTTTGCTAGTAGTCGCATTGTGCGTGGACCTTCTCCACTACTTGAACCTGATTGGCTGAAGAACAATCTTTGCGACACTCCTTCCAGTCGCCCCACACTGCTTGCAAATCCGTCAAAGCTGCACAGTATCGTTCACCATTGCTTCACGTTTGGCGAGACCCCTTTCCCCCTCGTCAATCAATATTTTTCTCGCTACACTGACTTTGCCGAAATTATTGTTTTCAAGGTTTTGCCAACACTATTTCAAACCCACATAACTTGATAAATTACCATGCTGACCCCGGGCTTTAAAGAAGCCAATTTTATTATACGCGCATATGCGCTACTATCCGGGGTAACACGGTAGGGTGAATATAGAGGGATGCCCTGACTCGTGGGAAGGGGAGAAGGGGTGGAGGGGGGAGAGGGGGAGAGGGGAGGAAGGAGGCTGAGGGGTGTGTACGCTAGTTTTGTCCCCACCCCTCCCCCACCAATTTTTCCTCAGCCAGTAGAAGTGAAAGGACTGAACAACCTGCTCCTTCCGTGCCTTCCCCTCCATCCACTCTAGTGTCTTGTATTTCTTGCCCTGAAACATCCAAATGGATTTCTGCTGGTGCCCTGAAACGTCAGGATGGCCAGGGAATTTTGCCCTGAGAAATCAGGGCACTTCGGAAAGCTTGCAAAAGTTATCATGAGGGCTCAGGGTGCCCTAAATCCTAGCACACGCCCTGCTCTCCCCCCCTATTTTCTTGGTGCAATTCTGTTAACCCCCGGGCAGGCCTCTGGTTAGGATTTGAGCCTCTCTTTCTCTTAAGGCCAATGCTCCGTCTTCACTCTTTCTGAAAGGGTACGTGGCGAGAACACTCTTTCCTAGCAGGGTGCAAGAATAGGGTAAAAACAAAGTTATATCTGATACACTTACATGGTGTGGTGTTGTAGTGACTTGCGGTGTAAATTTGATGCTCAGGATGCAGGTTCGATATTCGATGTAGGTGAACTCTGTTGTTGGATGCTGTGATAGTTGGTTATATGCAGGAAAATGTAATATCCCTGTTAGAGCGAACTCGGTTTTGTCAGTGTGTCTACATCTCGTAACTCTGAAATATCAGTGTCCTAGAACCAAACACTTTTTTTTGGAAGGGTCCCGAAATGAACCACTCTGAAAAAAAAGGGTGCATTATGAAAACCAGCCTTATAGTCAGTGTCATAAGGGTGATTCACCCTGTTAACCAGAGGCCTGCCCCCGGGTCTTATACCGGTATCCGGGGGTTTACAGAAACTAGAACCGCAGGGGCCTTTATCCGGAGGAATACGGCAAGAGCTTGTGAACTAGCAAACGCTGTGTGACCAACAAAACCTTGTGAACGAAGCATTTTGTACATACCGGTACCTAAGCTGATCTATCCAACGGGTCCAAAACCAGTTGGGGGGCCTGGTCTGAATGTCTTCATTTTTTCCATCAACTTTCCCAGAGTGTACATCCTGCCCTTTAACTGTAGAAAGCTGGTAGTGGTAGAGATTCCATTATGACAACATTCCAACAACCGTGCAATACGGTAGTAGGAGTGTTGGCGGCGCTGGTAAAGTAGGAACCAGGCCTCTTGATATCAGGGTAAATCACCCTTATGGCCCTTATTATAAGGGTGGGTTTAGGTGTTCACCCTGATTTTACAGAGTTGTATTTTAGGGCGCCCTTACAATAAAAAGTGAATTTTTGTGTAACACAGATATTTCAGACCGACCTGGTGTACTCGCCCTGATGACAACGAGTAGTGTTGGGTACCACCCTGATGCGATTTTTTAGGGGGGAGGGGGGTGGGGGGGGGGGGGGGGGGGGGGGGGGGGTTTATTCACCGACGTGATTTCTGCCGCGATTAGCGGCGATTTGCCCGAGTCACCAGAATTGCGCGTCGCCAAGACCCAGGCCTTCAGATTGGTTTTGGCCGACCCTGGGTGATCAGGGTACGAGGTTAAGTGAACCTTGATGGCTAGGGTAAATTTTTTTTTTCCCTGTATTCTGCAGCGTAAAAATTCCAATACACTGAATCAGTCAGTATGAAAATGTCTCTACACTGAATTTAGCAGCATAAAGTTGCAGATACTTGTCAGAGGTCCACTGGTGATCCCCGATTGATCCTAGGGAAGGGTTACAGGCGCGTTGGCCTGGGGGGTTATGGGCGCACTGACCCGCTACTTAACAAGCCCTTTTATCCCAGTGGTCAAGTGGCTGGGATTCTGACAATACTATGATTTCAGTCTTCCTAACTAGTACAATCAATCAGCATGGCACTAAAGCTACACATGGTGAAATACCAGGCTAATAGAACTACCATTGGGTTTCCTTAGTCCTCAAGTAACAGGGTCAGAAGATCCCTCGTTGTTGTCATCAGCAAAAAGAGCCTCTCCTGGGTTGGTGCCACTGAAGTCCTTTGTTGACCGCCGCAGCTTCTCTCCCCTTAAAATCATTACCACCTCGTACCAGTCCACGTCATACTGGAGCAGAGAGCATCTCATCAGATGCTCGAGGGTGGTGTCAGAGAGGGCGCCACGCTCCCACGACTTGATCAGATTCTGCTTGCTAAATCTCCTCTCGCACTCCACCGTGCTGAGTGGTAGCACGGCAACAGCCTGCCACATCCGCATCAGGTTGGGGAAGGAGTGCTGCCATGCGTCGTCCCGAAGCATGTTCCCCAGCGCCTGGTGGAAGTCCTCATCGTTGTGCTGTGAAAACATGGTAGACGTGAACATCCACAGCTCGCTCTGTGCCCTGGTGTAGTCAAATCCTGATGATCGGGAGTGGGAATTACGTAGGGTATACTTGCAGCAGGCGGGAGGGAGGGGAAATCTTAAACCAAACAATCAACAAGGCGCAGGCATGAGTGCACGAAGATACTATACATCAACGCGCATGCTTTCAGGTACCCAACAACCACGCTCGCACACAAACCGAACACATACATACCTGGCAGTTTGTTGTTGAACAGTTTGTGCAGTTGAGCCAGCCACTTTTTGAAGGTCTCCACACGCTTTGTATCGTCTGAGACGTACGATGCTGAGCGAAACAGCTTCGACCCCTCCAGATGCGCCAAGTCCCTCATGCGCCACTCCAGCTCCTTATCGATTTCACGCACGAACTTCAATGACAGCTCATAGCACGCCTCAACGTTACCGGCCGTCTCGTGCAGCTCGTACTCGAAGGTCACGGGGTTGCCATCACTGTCTACGCCCTCAGCCTTCACCTCCCGCTTGTCCATCTTCTGGTGGCGCTGAATGAAGTCGTTGAGGGTCATCTTTTCCCCGCTGCCGAAGTGCTGAGATGGGGAACCGTTCAAATAACGGTTCTTCAGGCGCCATCGTGTCTGCTGCACCAGGTGCGCCTCCAGAGTGATGTCGATCTGCAGAGTGAAAACAAGTGACACGGTAAGCGACATGTATAATCGAAACACGTTGGATAAGGAACACAACAGAACGGGTATGTGCCAACCGTACCTGCCTTTGCTGGAACCGCTGATTCAGGAAATTCAGCTCCCAAAGCACATCAGCAAGCAGGCGAAGCATCCAGTGGAATTTGAATGAAGTGGCAACCTCGTACAGATCGGCGTTGTACTCCTTCAGCACCACAATGACCGCAGGTAGGATTTCGAGGAGGCGTCTAACTGCTTCTCCGCGTGACAGCCATCGAACTTCATGAATGCCTTGAGCCTCGAGGTTGGTCTTGCAGAACACCTGCTGGATGTTGTGAAACTTGTCGTACTTCACGTTGGAACGGCTGATGAGGTCAGTGAAGCCACGGACGACACTGTCCACCATAAAGAGTTCGGGAACTGCTTCCCCGGCATTTTTTGCAGCCAGAGCCTCCCTGCAAGTGTAAACAATGAAGCAGCGTGAGAACGATGGTGGATAACAGAAACGAACATTACTAGCTTTACGTCAGGTAAGAACCTACCGATGTGCGACGCAGTGCGTTGAGGCAAGATGAGGAATCCGCATGCGCAGACGAGCGACAACACCAGTGTGCTTCCCCATCATGACATTCGCATCGTCCGTAGATACGGACGACATCTTCTGAAGATCCAGTCCAATCCCTGTCAGGTACTGCACCACAGCAGAAGTCAAAGACGCGGCGTCAGCACGGTCAACAGTTATCAGCGTCAAAAACTCGGTCACCACTGCGATCCCTCGGAAAAAAGTGGCGTAGAGGATGAGGTGTTTCCCGTTGACGCGATCACTGCTTTCGTCGAGGGAAAGACCAATCCAGGGCGACTCCAGTAGATGCAACCGCTGCACTTCCTGGAGGTAAGCTGAGATTGCCCTGAGGTTTTCTCTGAAGCCGTATCTGCAGACCACATGAACAAAACACAGCCGTGAGAACGCGATTGGCGCACAACGCGAGCCACACTTCTAACAAACACGGGCTTACTCTGTGTAGTAGGCGCCGTAACCACCACTGTTTGGGAGGTCGGGAAGACCTTCCTTCGCCAAGAACCAGCAGAGCGGGATGAACATCGCGATTGGCGCATCCGCCTTGCAGACGAAGACAGCGATGTGCAGAACGCGAATGATGTGCCTCGTCGACGCGTCGGTTGCCTGCCAGCGGGTGATGCTCACTTGTTTCGCCTTGTCCGCTTCCGCTTCTGCTTGGGCTTTCAACGCGTTCTTGTGGGCTCTCGTCGCGGAATGGGCCCGGACGCTACCAATCTGGAGGTCGCGCCCACCCTCGCCCTTCGCACCGTAGCTAGTGTGAGCGGTGGGGTCTCCATGCTGCACGCAGATGTCGCACTTCAACTTGGCAAGACCGTTAGGCAACCGAATGAGACGTAACCACTTAAATTTATTCCGCCACTCAGACTCATAGCGATGCTTTATCGTGTCATACATAACATCACCGGTTGTTTTTGGCGGCGCTTCATCTTCAGGATCAGCATCACGTTGCGGAGAGGCAACCCTCCCAGGAGGAGGAGCTCCCCAGAGGCGCTGCTGCTTGTACTTCACAGCGACCCGCGGGCGTTTGACCGCCGTGCTGTTCACAGTAGACGGTGAATCCGCCGGTGGCCTGGACGACCCTTCCCCACCGCCAGGCACAAGAACGACTGATGGGTGCGGCTCCCAGTCAGCCGACGTGGATGGCGGCTCGAACGGGAAGACGGTGCCTACACTGCGCACTGGAGAAGCGGGACGTGGCAGTGGTGAAATCGGCACGCTGTAGGACTCAGGCAGGCGGGGAAGAACACCCAGCACAGATAGGCCATTGCGCAGTACAGCAGGCGGTTCTTGAGAATGCTCGGCAGGCATGACTGAGGCATGGGCTGGAACCTCGATGGTGTTCCCTCACGGTAAGAATGAGTAGGAGGAACAAGATGGGGTGTCCTTGGGAGCACACAAAGCCCCACCACCACCTGTGATGGCTTGGAAGACCCCGGAGCGCGGCTCATGCGTGGCTCACGGTGCTTCCTCTTGCCTGCCATGATGTGCCCTGGACAGCACGAAACACATGATGCGCTGTCAGCATGGCTGCCACTTCCACCAATGTGGTGGTTACGCGGCACGTCGCGGGAAAAGTCCTCGGGACTGCACCTGTGCTTGATGTCATCTTATGTGGGTGTTGGTCCTGCTGTCCTTTACGCAACGTGTTCATAGTCGGATATCCTCGGTTCCGAGAAACTCAGTATCAGCGTAACTGAAACCGTACCCTGAACACTCGGGGTAAAAAATCCATCACACTGTTTTACAAAGGGGGAAAAAAAAACTACACTTTCTGGCCTAGGGTAAAAATCCTAATACCCCGTCTGGGAAAGGGTAACTCAAAAAAAGCGGCCGCCAGTCAGTGCAAAAAGGGTATTTTACCCTGATAACGAGAGCCCTGCCAAGACCGCTCGCGTCGCCACAGCCACAGTCCCGCAACCTGTACCCGTACCACATGCATTTTGCCTGCCTGGCGGTGACACACAGCGCCACACAGGTGTGCATCGTCCAGGAGAGTCCTGCTTGGTCCCTTCCTCCCTCCCCACCAGACCCCCACCCACCGACCAGCCGCTCTCACCCAACCCCAACCCAGTCAGTTCATTTTATTCATCCAGTTTTCCTCCTCGTGGTCTCGTCTAGGGTTTGCAGACCACGCCTTCCTGCTGCTATTATAAGCATAGCTCCAGCATCTACCTCCAAGTCCCTCGTCATGGCTGTTGTCACCAGCGGTGAGGATGACGACGAGGCTCGTCGTCAGGTCCTGCACTCACCCTCATGAAAGGGCCTTCGCTTTTTAACAGAGCCTTCTAAGCGACTGCTTGAACCAGAGCCCGTCGTTGCCTCTACTGAGGCGGGGCTGAAGCGGCTGGCTGAAGCGGGGCGTGACGTGCACCACGACGCCTGAACTGACACCACGAAAAGCACAACACATGTAATGGAGAATGCCGCTGCTGCTCACAACTGTGCTGCCAAGAAGCTGAAATCTGGTTCGTGTTCGGCACGGCAGAAGTGGCGGCAGCAACCTAAGTCGAGTTTCACTCGCGGGGCTCATGCATACGGTAGCAATGTTCAATGCTGGCAAGAAGCGCCGCCCTGCTCAAGAGTTCCTATACCGTATTAACTTGTGCTCACTGCTAAGCTTATTCTGTTAGAACCAGGCACTGGTGCTTTAGTTGCTCTGTTAGTTAGTGCCATCTTTAATATGTAATCCACGCTTAAGTCTAAACATGAAAGGGTGAAAACAATGTGCACACTGATGAGCAAGAGTACCTTTCCAGCTGACACTGATAAAAAAGACTGACATGGCTGACCCACCCTTACTGAAAGACCAACTTCAGCGAACTGGCCTTGCGAGTAAGAGTGCCCCAAATCCTATCCAGAGGCCTGGTAGGAACGCCAAGCAGACAGTATGGCACAAGACACCAGTCAACCAAAGCAAGACGCGTCACGCCCAGTCAACGGGCGATTTGAGCACCTTGACCAGCTCCTCCTCTGGCGAGCCTGGCTGCGGCTGCACGTTGTAGCGCCACGCGATCAGCGGTGGAGCTGCACTCGTGCACGGTGCCATGGGAGGAGTGGGGGGAAAGGACGGACAATGACGGAAGGTGAGGGGATGGAGGATGGGGGATAGGAATTGCAATGAGCAGAAGTCAACCCACACGAGGTGGTGGAAGAAGAAAACGACTATCATCGGTCTCCATCAGAGGAGTGCGCACGCGTGAACGAATGAGAGCATGGCAGCAGCACCTGCTCACCTGTGCTGTGCACTCAACGCAACCCCAATGCTCTGCTCTGCACACCTGCAGGTTGACTCGCCATTCCCCTGTGTGAAGCTCATCAGTCAGCACAACCCATTTCCCATCCCAACCCCAACCATCACCAACTACCTCCAACGCCCTCCCCTCGCACGCCTCTCACTTCACCATCCACCCACGCCGCTGACCTCACACCAGGATGCCCTCCACCCCCGCCGCTGACCTCACACCAGGATGCCCTCCACCCCCGCCGCTCACCTCACACCAGGATGCCCTCCACCCCCGCCGCTGACCTCACACTAGGATGCCCTCCACCCTCCCACCTCCTCCCCTCGCCCGTCACGCACGTCCCCCCTGCCCGGCGCTCACCGGACACGCACGTCCCCCCTGCCCGGCGCTCACCGGACACGCACGTCCCCCCTGCCCGGCGCTCACCGGACACGCACGTCCCCCCTGCCCGGCGCTCACCGGACACCATGATGGACTCCACGCGCCCGTGGCCATCCATGCCGAACTTCACCCCGCGGTCGTACAGCAGGTTGAACTCCAGGTACCGCCCCCGCCGCTCCAGCTGCCACTGCCGCTGCGCCTCAGTAAACGCCAAGCCACGCCGCCTGTCCACGATGGGCCAGAAGCTGTCCATGAAGCCCCGCGCCACGTCCACCGTGAAGCGATGCGCCCGTTCAAAGCCCTCCTCGCCCGCGCCAGCAGCAGTAGCGGGTGCGGGAGCGGCAGAGGGGCTGAGGGCGAGGGGGGCGTGGGGTGGGGGGATGCGGTCGAGGTCGTCGAAGAAGATGCCGCCCACCCCGCGGTGCTCCGCGCGCGCCGGCAGGTAGAAGTACCCGTCGCACTGCGCCTTGGCCGCCGCGTACAGCGCCGGGTGGTAGCGGTCGCAGATGGCGCGGTAGAACGCGTGGAACTCCCTGATGTCCGCCGGGAAGAGGTCTGGCGAGGGGGGTGCGGAGGGGTGAGGCGGGGTGAGGATGAATGAGGAGGGAGCTATGGGGGAGTGAGACCTGGGTGGCAGCAGTGGCCAACGGAGCGGTGGAAGGCGTGGAACTCACTCAAGTCCGCTGGGAAGAGGTCTGCGAGGACAGGGTTGAGGTGGGGGGAGAGGAGAAGGGACAAGGAGGGACGGCGGGGGACGAGGAGGGCCGACTGCGGGGGGTGGTAGGGAAGGAGGGTGAGAGGGAGGGTGTGCGTCTGTGGTAGTGAGATCTGAAATGGACGGTGGGCTGCTGGAGGATGGAAAGGTGGACTCACATCAGGAGGTGACGTGGACTCACATGAGGGGGTGACGTGGACTCACATGAAGGCGTGAGGTCGGCCCCTCCACCAAACCAGCCGTTCTGCCCGTCCACCTGATGGGGGCGACAGGTGGTGGGAGGGGCAGAGAGAGATGAGCGAGAGGGAGAGATGAGGGAGAGGAAGAGAGATTAGGGAGAGGGCAAGGGGAGGTAATGGGGAGTTCCAGGAAGACATGAGCGCAAGGCGGTGGCTGTGGCATGCAGGCAAGCGTGGCAGAGCCGGGCCGGGTGACACCAACCACGGCTCACTGTGCCAACAAGGTTGGGTCGAATTCGCTGCATTGCT